CTTCACATATTTAAAGATTATTTGGCAGAATTAGTGTGTAATCATAAGGATAACGAGAGTCAAAACAGTTATGTCTTTCTCTCACAGAGCGAATGTGTCAGAGTGGAGGATATGAGTATATTATAATTCATTATTGACTAAGTCAAAGAGTCAAACAATCGAATCTTGAACCATAATCAAATAAAATAGAAAATAGAAAAAGATTATAAAAATATTCGCATCAAAAAGACACCATAAGAGCGTATTTTTAAGCCTACTCGTACATTGTCAGGTGCAGACGAAAAAGTCTACTTTAATTTGATATGATGATGATTGATTTGATCGGCATAGTTAAATAATAAAGTAAAAGAATCACTTTTAAGATACAACTTCCAAACAAGTCACAAGTGTGCAAATGCTGTGCATACTTTGGAGCAGTTCGCAGGTCACCTTCGGGCGATATAACGGTAGAATGCATTCATCGTTTTTCCACTCTACTTACGACAACCCTTAAGTTTGTTATTTCACGCATAGTTGCACATTTCCAAAAACTTTATGACAAAGATTCGCAACGTTATTCTTTATGAATGCTCATATAAACGCAGTTACACAACTCACTTTTTTCGTACTCTCTTGCTTTTAACCGATATACAGATTTACTGATGCATGAGGCTCTCAAAAAGTACAAAAAGTCGTCAACGGAAGTAGGTGTCTAATGATAATCATAAATCCAGCAGAGAGCTGTACGGCCACAGTTAAATAACGAAGGATCGAGCCGATAGCGCTGGGTGGCATATATTCTCATATACATATGTCTATGTGTGTTTATATATATGTATATATACAACACAAGCAAGAATGAGCGTTTTCCCGTGAAGACAAGCAAAGAAAGTGTGTCAGTGTGTAATTTAGCGAGGAACCAACGGTAACTGCAGATTCACATCATCCTTACGCCTGCTTAAATGAAACCGGCCGCTATGTTATATTGTGGCTCAAGTCACATTTTATCAATTGCTCTGTCATTTGGTTGGCTTCGTTGGGTTTGTCGACTAGTTGGAACGCTTGACTGGACATTTTAGTAACTCCCTTTGGCCATTAGTATGCCCACTTATTTTAACAACTACTGCTGCTATTAAAGGACCGCATATGCTTCCGTTTCCACCCGATAGAAGCATCACCTCTACTGTGTAGGCTTGTGCGTGCTTTTTTAACCGAAGATTCTATATTTTCCGTTGCTACAACTTATCTGCCGCTCTGCAATTATTTTGCCATTTTATCCTGACTTCTACGCCCTTGGAGAAAATCACTCATCAGTCGTCTGCTTAATGAGCACTGCTGCGCTCGCTCGCAAAATACACTGGTATATTTTTGAATGACTGCGTAAGGGGCTTCGTGCTCACTTGACTTGAATTCACGTTAAATTTCATCATATATTTTCTACAGCTTCTTTGGGAAATATAAATTAAATATTCACTAGGTACTTGAGAATAAGTGCGAGAATATTCCAATTGTGAATTCCCTGAAAACAACGGTCATTTGACATTTTACAGTTTTGTATTTCATAAAATATATTTAATGAAAACGGCTAACTATCACCAGTTTGTCAAATTTCTGCTGGCGTTTCTTAACCCAAAAAACTAACAGAAGAGAACATAAGTTGAAAGCTTACGAAGCAGAGAGATCTGCTACTAAAATTTCTGCTACCGCGAAATAGTTACTGTTAAATGAAGAAACAACTGTCAAACACATATGTAAACAAGGGATATTTGAGGCATTTGCTTTGATTTTGTCTATTTTAATAGTATTGAATTGCGACGAAAAAATTCTCTTGATTGGTCATCTAGTATTGATATTATGTGATTATTAAAAACAGCATTTTTAAATTCCCTTTCTACTTGTAACTTCTTCTTTCAGACTACAGATTTCACAAATCAACACAGAGTTTTAAATGAAAAAGAAGAAATATAATAAGACTAAATTATGGATCGGAATTTTGATACAATTAAACTCTTTTAATGCGGCGAAGCCAAATTTTAGCATTTTTATTTGTTTATTGTGGCATTGAAGAAATAAGAACACCATAATGTTTATGGGAAAACATTGAAGCTTTCAGTATGAGACATTGGCAATTGGGCGCTACAAGGTAGTGAAGGATCGGCGAAATAATTGTAAGCAAAGAGGACAAAATTATACGCTTTACATGAGAAATTTATAATGGGTTTCTAGAGCAAGGAGATATATTCAACCATATACTGAGTTTAGGAAATTTATAATATTTAATAGTGCAGGGTTCTCTCCTTGGCAGCACAATGCTATTAAAATGCTTGTAATTGCATAGGGCTTTGGAATTATATGGCTAATCTGATTCACAAAAGTTAGCCTCCAGAAAATTAGATATGTAGTCGTGGAGTGAATACCATACATGAAAATGCGAAAAGGCATTTATATTGCTAATTTAGTGTCTATTAGGCAAACCTCCTGCTTTATACCGGACAATATGTATTGAGTTTGCAAGAAAAAAAACTTTGAATATAATAACTTTCCATTTTGAGCATTTTTAACCAAATAAACCTTAAAAAACTTTGAACATTTTTGTAGAAATATTACTTCGAGCAGATTATGTTGCACATATATATTCACAAGTACAGTTACGCACACTCATACACACATACATAAATAAAGATAGCTTTTACATTTAGCTTACAAAAGATAACACGTTTGTTGCGATGTAAGGACATTAATATTTAAATATTATATGAGAACATAAAAAAAAAACACAAGAACCGCAAGAGCATTGAATTTCCTCCTAGAAAAAATAATAAAAATGGAAGAAACAAAGAAAAAAGTGTGAATATACCAAATGTTTACTCACATATATTAAGAAGAAAGCGGTTTGTCTTTCAAGGTCACTACTTTGCCACTCTTTCCCCTATGAAATCCGCTCAAACATCACGCTGTGCTCTATTTATATTTACTAACGCGTCATCTCTCTGAGAAGCGCACATTCCTTCATTCATTATGCATGCGGCACTTATCCTCGGACGCATATGTTCTACACGTTTAAGAACTCGTACATCCGCCCATACATTAACATAATGAGCACACATATGAAGACACGCTCACTTTCTCTATTCCCAGCCATAATTAAAGTGCATCGAAGTGCAGCTACATGTGCCACTGTAGGCGGCGAACTGTGGCAAGCACTTCAAGCAATCTTTTTTAGTTGTAAACACACATGTGAACACAGTCCACAGTGAGGCGTGGTGCCACTCGTGTGGCAGTAGTTCCTCCATATGCTAATGCAAACTTGTATTGACTTTGTGTTAGTCTGAATGTTGTTGTTGACAAAACTGCCGTTGCTTTGCATAGTGTTGTGTTATGCAGGTACAGGGTGTGCCTCCTCTGAACATTTATGAACCGATTCAATCACTTTACTCCAAAGAGAAATCGAATGTCATTGGACCTAACAATATGAAAAAGTCGATTTAAATGCATCTAAATGGAGCTGCTCGCTATGTATATATATACATATACATCGCAGATCATCAAGCCATTGACAAGCCCAGAGCAAACATTAATGCGAAAGCATAATGAACATAGCACGCGAAATATTCGAAAAGTAAATTTAGAAGGCACTTTAAGTAAAACAAGAAAAAACGAGATTGTGACGTTACTCGCAAAATTGCGTGAAGATATCTTATCAAATCCGATAACCGCTGTTCCGATACATGGGGAGGGACTAGTGCGCGTATATACATATGTACGGACAGGCGGGCGGAAATTGCTAAATCGACTCAGCTCGTCACGCTGATCACGCTGTATATGTACTTTATAAGATCTCCAACGTTTCTCTCTGGGTATTACAAACTTCGTGGCAAACTTGTATCCAGCTCAGTACTTAAATATATCAAATATAAAAAGCGATTGCTTTTCAATTACAAAAAATTTTACAAAAGGACATCAAAGATGATATACCCTGTATGTTGATGTGTTTGTAGATACGTTACTTGCTAGAATATGGGAAGTTTGCGCTAAGCTTAAGCACTCTCAAAAACAGAAATTTACTCATTCTTATGGCTATAAGCCCTTTTGTTTTCATTATAGTATTACATTGTATGTTAATAAAGACCATATATACATATAATAATGTTTGATTATATGTTTTCATCTTAAAATTTGAGCAGTTTTATTGCACGTGGTGGAATAATCACATAACGGTCTTTATTAACACCTTAAAGCAATGGAGATGTAATATTTAATAAAAAGCGTTTGCCAAAATTATCGAAATATGTATGTCTTTGCTTTTCATTAATTTTTATTGGAATAACATATGTTTATGAAAGAATTTGAGAACAATTCATATGAAAATTTAATTCCTTCTTTGAATTTGAATTTTGAAAAAAATGTATCATTTGTTTACACATGTCCAAACTGAAAACCGCTTTTTCAACTTATTTTCCTGCCAAAGAACTAGCTTTCTGTTATAAGTACCTGAAAAATAATTGATTGCGAATCGGAAAATGCAGAGTAAAATGCAGATATATGCCATAGTGGAAGGAAACCTAGAGACCAGAGAATCCTCCAAAACAGTTGATAAACATGGTTTTTGTCGCCTTCAGGAGGCGAAGTTTTTCGATTGGAATTTAATTATTAACCTTATGAATTAGTATTTGTCTGTAGAATTATTTCTGTTTGTTAGAAAAAATTTATATATGTGTGAATGTGTGTGTATAACAATATAATAGTATAATCGTCAGATTGAGAATCATTTAAATAAAGTCGACAAATTGATTTTGAATTCAATAAGTTGCACGTATGCTGTAATAATCGTTAATTAAATTTCAATTACACAATAGTTTTGCGCCTCTTAACAGGCTTTTGCACAACCACATTTCTCCTATCAGTTACAATGCAGTCGAATAAAATCAAAGCCACCATTAATGTTGATGTTCAATGGCAATTTGAATTAAGTGAATACACTTTCTCCGATTAATTGACTTTTAGCGGGTAATCTTGCTTACCTTGTGTGCCCGAACTACTTCCACCCTTTGATGAGCTGCAATTGTTGTTTAGCGAATTGAAGAAATTCGCAGCACCGGTTCGTCGTAATATCCAAAACATTTTGCCGGAGGAAGTGAAGCGTTCTGCTGATGCTTGGTAACTGTATTTGTAATTTTTAATTGTAATTTAACTCTCTAATATTTTTGTCGATAACCTGTTTAACTGATATGTTCTGTTACAAGTTTGACTTTGTCGTCATGTGTTCATATAAAATGCGTCCTTTCAGGTTCTACTCGTGATTTTATTTCCCATAGTATTAGCTGCATGGATGTTCATTTAAGAATAAAAACAATTTTGCTATAGAATTTCATTCATTTAAATTTCAACTACATTTTATTATACTTCATGCAGTGGCACTCAGATACGCCGGTGCGTATACACAATCCTTTAGATGAAATTCAGCAATATTCATTAGGAAGCCAATGTTTAATTCTTCTTTGCTCTGTCTTCTTCCCATAATTAGTATTTATGTATTTCGTGTTTAAGCTTACGCATTAGTGGCGAACCGGAGAATGGCTAACCGCCCGTCTCAAATTCTACCGTTACAAATTAAACGCCACTTTCAAACGTCTGCGCTTACTAATTGTAAGTGAAAGACACCGCCATCATGTAATTTATTTTAAATAATCAGACGCCTTACTGGATTTAATGGAATACTAAATTCCAAATTATTGAATATTTGAAGATATGAAATAAATTGATCTATTACTCTTACTTTTGGATATGTAAATTCAAAAGCGTAAATCTTCCCTAATGAAATTGATTTTTATACTTTCGCAACATGTTACTACAGAGTATGGTATAATAGTTTTGTTCAACTTAAGGTTATTTGTATCACCAAAAATTAATCGTGTTAGATATAGGGATATGCATATATAAATGATCGGGATGAGACAAGTAGAAATACGGGTGACTGCCTGTCCTTCCGTCCGTCCGTCTGTGCAAGCTGTTACTTGAGCAAAAATTTATATATCTTGATGAACATGTTTTTTGGCACCGATCAAAAATCAAAACAAGATATATGGCTGTTATTTGGTATGAGCAATATCATTAAAGAGGGGTATCTGCGTGGCCCGCCCTCCAATAGGTTTAATATACATACATATATATTAAACCACTAAGGCTATAATACCCAAATTCACTCTAAACAAATCTCCTTACTATTTACAGTGCTTACTACTGACAATGTGAAAATCGATGAAATGGGATGATAACCCTGCCGACTCACCATATATCGATATGTGAATAAATCGATTTTGTTAAAAAATACTAAACGTTTGACAACCCACTAAATGAACAAGCCAGACAATTTAAATTTTACACTTAGGATAGTAGGATTAAGCTTTATGGGATCCACCTGTAGGTGAAAACCCATATTTCGCCATTTACTAGACCGATTTCAATCAAATTCAGCAGGTTATGTTATACTGAAATTTTTATGTTAAAGTATGAAAATGGACTAAATCGGACTGCAACCACGCCTGTATACAATTATAAATTTCATATTCAAATTCATATTCATTTTTAAATTCATGTTCTTTCATTTTCCAGTATACAAGGAGCAATGGATAAACTTTGCACGAATACTGCCTTTAAAGTATGCCACGTAATGACCACAACTTCGGAGTGAATCCTTTCCTGATATGTTAATAGTATGTTTGAATGTCAAAACTTGGTTGAATCTTGATCATACTCAGCCCCATTAACCTAATATAAAGATTATCGAACATTCGGCCGACCTTATTCCATATGATTGGTGATGGTATGTGAGGTACCTTAGTGAATGAGTGTTAATAAGATACAAATTTAATTGTAATCCATTTACGATTTCGTTGAATAATGAATGCTAATTTCTTTCGCAACATTAAAATAAAGTTTTCACAACACATAAAGGTATTTAGACAGCAAATTGCAAGAGTATAAAATGTTTCTTACGTCCTTATTTGTTTTTTATCTTTTTGTAATATATATTACGTTTCCATTCACGCTTTGATATTTTTTTTGCCATTATAAGCGTAACAAATTACGCTCTTCAGAAAAACTTTGTTATTATGGTATATTGAATCAAAATAGCAGACCAAGGGCACTCTTAAACTTAATCGCTTGGAAAATTTTGTAAACTTCACCAAGCATAGCAGTTTCATCATCAAACAAATGCAAAATTAAATAAGGCCGTTATCAGAAATTCAAGTCTATGAAGTGCCGACGGCATTCAACAATTGCGCCTAGTACCGGGATATTTCGCGGATTGTCCTTCGCATTTCTACTAATTAGCAATGAAACCGAAAAAAACATTTGCACTCGTTTACAAGCGCCAACAGCTGTTACTGTTTACTTGTTTATTTCTTGCGCTCCCCTTTATTACACATACGAACACTTGCACTCACACACCAGCGTACACATTTGAAAGTACCGTCGTTGTCAATTTGGCAACACAATGCATTTTAAATGTAGATAAACTCGCTCATTCCAACGCGTCTACGTGTGACAACTTCATTAATTTCGTCGCCAAACGCAATGAAAAGTCTTCAACACACACACATGTACTCTTGCATATGTGTGCTTGTCTTTTAAACTGATCTGATGCACTCGAATCATGGGCTTTTGCCAATAAAAAGATAAAATCCTACACAAATACCATTCAACAGTCGAAAAATCAACCGTTGCAACTCACTACATTGTTGTTGGTTTTTTTGTTTTTTCTCTCTTTAATATCCAGCAACGCGTTTCATGGCATTTGGCGAGCTGTTCGCGTAATCCACCGTTACTCGCTACGATTGCCGACAAACTGATTTGATATCCTGTCGCATTTGCCAATATATTCGCCAAATTCACTCAACGTTACGCAACGTAAGCGCGTAGTGAACGTAACGACGAAAGAGAGCGCACCAACAAACAAAAGGTTTTTAAATAAGGAAAAAGAGAAAATTTGGAGCACAAGGACAATAATAATTTACAAAATAATAAGCCTATGCACGTTATACCCAAATAGATTACGCAAAACATATTCTAAATATTCAAAACTGATTACCTTGCAGTCTTCAAAAAGTTCCAAAATTAATGCAAATAATTTTTAACCAAAATTGTATTTTGAATTTCCGTTTGTACAGTTATAAAATTTCTGTACTTCTTTACACTCTTTGTACAAATCAACCCTCAAAAATTCTGTTTTCTGCAAGAGCGAAAGAGAGCGCGCCAAACTGTTCCCAAATTCCTTTGATCTCGAAGGATGCAAGACCACCGTTTAACACCACTACAGGAGAGTGTGGTTTTCATGCTTTCTACACCAGCAAAAACTTTCCCTTTTATTAAATTATACCGCAACAAAGTTTTCCCACACTCATACCAACAATATATTGTAGAACTCGCGTTTATTTGTATCTATGTAGGAAAACACTCTGCCCACAGACCTCTGACATATTATTAGATTTTTTATGACGACAGTAAACAAACACAAATAAAAGCTGTATTGGGAGATAATACACATGTGTGGAAATTTGTGTATTCCATTTGTATGTGTGTTTGTGTGAGTGTGTGTGTGTGTGTGCCAACTAGTTGAGTTAGCTTTCTATTTCTTTCGGTTCTATTTGTGTTACAAAAGATGGGCAAGTGATCGCTTCTATTTATGTTACCGTTACCGATCCATGTAAACGAAGCTCTTGCATGTACACACGCACACTTGCCAGCACTTGCGAACGTTCCGTTATGATTGACGTCACATTCATCAATCAACGGGACATCCCCTGTGAAAAGGCTCAATGTATGTGTGTGTGTGCATAAAAGCAGCTGAACATCAATAAATGAGAGTCGACGCATAATTTACTTGGACCCCACATCGCCGCTGACAGAACGTGCAAGAGGCGATTCCACACTATTTCTAGTGTCAACTTTGGATTCGCACCTGGTTTGACACAACCACAACGAATCAACTATAAATTTGTGAGTTATATACATGAGGCGTACTCAAGTGAATAAAACAGTTATCTGAGCGAATCAGCAAATGAGAATGTTGCGTATACGCCGCAGAGGGCAGCTGAAGCGAATGCGAAATCAGGATGTTAAGTTGGCAGCTGATAATTTAGTAGGTCCATCGATCATGTCATCATGTGAGAACTCTGCAACCACGCAATTTCTTGCTGTATTTTCCAAACACAAATTGCGACATGTTTCTTCTCGTTCATGGCTATTGAATTATCTTCAAAAAAAAACAAATTTAAAACAATTATACGAAACACAATACAATTACTCTAATTGAATGCAGTTTGACAAAATATTCCAACATAATTTTCAGTATTTTCTTGAAAAACTTTTTTACAAACCACACTCACCTGTCAAGTGATAATAATTGCTTTGTTCAGGACCTCCACTCAGGTTATTGCCTGATTTTCAAGGTAAAAGCCACAACTTTTAATTACAGCAAGCGTAGTCAAGTCACTTTAGGCACTTTAGCCTGTAGCATTTACCAACGTAAAAGAAACTTAGTGTCGGCTTCGCCTAGTCAGGCAACTCTTTCGAAGCACATTTGACTTTTAACTTCGGAAACTTTAAAGTGCGCGCACGAAAACAAAAACACCAATTACTGCGCAAACCTGAATATTAATTAGCCTATTTTCAGCAAACAACGAACCAAAGCAGAGATAATGGAGGACAATTAAAATGTATGTAAACGCAGCGCTTGGCTACGAACAAGTGCATATATTTTGTAATGTCCACCAACCACAACGGTTATGCACAACAGCTAAGCCATAAATATAATTAAGCAGCCTCGGGTGAAGGGGCAGCACCCAAGCACTGAAATTCTTATGGTATTTCCTCTCAAATCGGACCAATGGTACAGGTAAAGCGTCTAAGTAAATTTGAGAGTCTGACATATGTGACTAATGTTTACATAATATCTCCTCAAATAATCAAATACATGTAATGTCGCCTTTATTTTCAAATTTATGCAAAATAAAGCAAAAATTTTGCTGGCTCACGCAAACAACCCCGGTGACATTAGAAAACTTTTGGCTTGACAAGCGAAGCTCATACTAAATTCATAATTTCTACGTTGGTTGACATAACAACTAACTCTATAAGGTAATTTTTGGACGTATCTACTGTCCCATCTTTAATAAATTATTTCACTTTGTACGAGTATATATGCTTTTTATACCCTGAACAAGAATATATGAATATTAAGTTTACAAAGAAGTTTGTAACACCCAAAATAAATCGCAGGAGACCCTATAAATTATACATACATATATACAAATGATCAGCTTGACGAGCAGAGTAGAGGTAGCTATGTCCGTCACTCTGTACGTGTGTACCATATATACGTGAACTAGTCCCTCAGCTTTTGAGATATGGATTTGAAATTTTGCACACGTTCTTTTTTCTCCAAGAAGCTACTCATTTGTCATAACCGCCAATATCGGACTGAACGTTCAAACGCTTTTTCTTGTTGTTTACTTGATAAAAGCACTAAGTCCCAAAAAAAGGCTTACCGGTAATCAAAATGTTCTTAAATCGGGAACAGCCTTAAATTGTATACCATTCATGTTCCTAGTACAACATGTGAACCCAACCTAGTTTGTTATTACAATCTTTATTTTGTAGCAATACGTCTCTTAAAAGCATAATTAACCGTTTTTGCTTCTTAACTGTCGACATTTTTAATTCTAATAAGTATTTGAAAAAAATGCAAAAAATTGATGTATAAAAGTCTACGGATCATTCTAACAAAGTTTTCTTAGGAAGCAATGTGTCTAAAACTGATTTTAAGCCAAAATTTTTTAAAGCAAAAATTAGATTTTAGGAATTATTAAAAGTTGTTCGTCAATTTTTAAGATATCCGAATAAAATTTAATACCCAGGTGCAGTTTGGATTTCGATTTCATAATGAACCGACTTACTTCGTAACAACGTTTGCAAATAGTGCAAAAGCCGATAATTCAAGCAACCATGGACCAACTATTAGTGGTGAGCCCATCCACTTCATGGAAGATTTTGCGAGCTTACAAAATCCAACTCATGCAAGAATTGAAACTCACTTTTGGTTGAATAGGTATGTTAATAAACAAAACTGTCGCATTTTTAATCCACAACCCATTATTGAGACGCTGTATTTTCAATTTTTCTTAAAATCCTTCATATATATCGCTTACTAAAAGAAAAACTTTGTTGTTTTAACTTCAGATAAAAATTACTTGAGTTACAGTGACTACCGTGAGGCCACTTTTCTGATGCTGAAGTTAGAAAGGGCGCTGTCAACGGCTGAATTTACAATATTTTTGAATGCAAATTTTTGTACATGATGTTGACATTTCAAGTATATACACATACTTGTAACAAGAAAAAAATATAAGGTTGTCAAATATCCGCTTTTTGTCTTTTGAATTTCGCGGCTATGTACAAAGCGCTACAGAGCTCGTATCTGGCAACACTATACATAATTTGAAAAGTCTTGACATAACCTACAAAACAACGCTATGCATGATTAGTTTAGATATTGCGTTCAACAGTTATAGACGTGTAAACATGGAGTTCACTAATGCCGAAATTCGCGCTATTTTAAAGTTTTCCTTCGTTAAAGGCAAATCCGCTAGAGAAACGTTCCGTGAGATTAATGGTGTTTTGGGGTATGGTACTCTATCACTTCGAACCGCGGAGGAATGGTTTCGACGATTCAGAGCCGGTGAAAACGACACCATGGATAAGCCAGGCGGCGGAAGACCTGTGACGACAAATACCGATCAAATCATGGAATACATCGAGTTAAACCGGCATATGGCATCTCGTGACATCGCCAGGAGATGGGAGTTAGTCACCAAACCATTTTGAACCATCTGCAGAAGGCTGGATACAAAAAAATATATACACATACTTGTAACAAGAAAAAAATATATATGATACTAATGTTGTAGCTTCAAAAAAAAACAGAAAACGACCTTATTTTAAGTTACAAGACCCATGTAACCCTTTAAAAATATTGTGATTATCCAATTATATGTTATCATACAAAAATTGTCAGAGCAGTTAGTTTAATTAAAGACTTCTTGTATTCTCAACGGTCTTTTGTATCCCCATGGTTGTCACAGGAGAACGTATACAAATTTGAAGTGAATACTTCTTTAGCCGCATTAGATTCATTTCGCAGGCTTCTAGCTGCACATTGGCACATACACACGTCAGTTCGGAGTCGTTCGGCATTTAGCATCTGTCAAATATTAACGGACACACGGTCCTATAGGGACTGTTATTTAGACAACAGCACGACTTCACGGCAGCAGGCTTGCTTTAAGCCATTTCTAATTTTGTCGACGACAGTGGGCAGCTGTAGTGTTGTCACTAATATATGAAATGTAAAATTATCAAAGTTCTAACAAGTCTAACGTTATCTTACCAAAAGAAGTATAAAATAGCTTTTATATATCATCAGTAATAACCATTGAAAATGTGAAACAAATTAATCGACTTATTTGCTTTTTTTTTTACACAATATTTAAATTTCAATGAATTAAAAGGTTTAAGTACGGCAACAATGAAATTGTGTACATCAGCTGTTTGATATTTTCATGTCATGTCGTGCAGTCGTCTTTTTGTTCAAAGCATTATGGTGGAATTATGTCCTTGCATACTTACCGTCCGAATCAAACGAAATTTTTTCAAAAGTTATGCCCGTAGTGATAACGTTGAAATCAGTTGTTCTCTTTTGTTTTAATTATTGCCTATATTGCTCAATTTATATTGATGGTTTTGCACATATTTAACTTTTCAGTTATAATTGTTCTTAATGTGAA